GCAGTGTAAAAACTAATAGTCGGTAATGAGTTGTATGATTGTTGTTTGCCTGTATAATGTGCCTACTTGATCTTTGATTGTTTATATGTCGACTCGGGATGTCAAAAACTTCTATGGGTCCCTGCCCCCATGGGACCCCGATTCCGTATGGGATTAATTTTTAAAAAAATTCAGGGGCGGAGGTGGGAGTGAGTATTTTCGTCCCGCACCTTGCGGGGGCCCTATATATACATACACACACACACACACACTACATTATCTAATTTTAGGGTTTATTGATATTCTTCCACTTCACAGCAGACGACGATATGATAATGAATTGGTCAAATATTTATAACATGTTGAACTTTTTTTGTGATATTGAATTTGTCGTATTTTATATTTGTAATTTTGTTGAATTTTTCATTTTGTAACGTTGAATTTGTAACGTTAGATTTTTAATTTTTAGTTGTTAAAAAATCTAGATTTAAAGCTTTTAAAGTTATGAAAAATATTTTTTTAGCCAAAAAATGTAACTATTTTTTAGCAAGGAAAGTCAATTTTAAGCCTAAAAAACAGAGGAACGGGGGCGAGATCGGGGGTGATGAAGGTACCCAGGGGCTGGATAGGGGGCTATGTAAACGGGGGATTCGGGGATGGGGCGGGGGCATCTATTTCTACTTCCGTTTGGTCCTATTGACATCCATAATGTCGACATATGGTGGTAATGGGTTGAGGAAGTCTTGCTTTGTGTTGTAGGCCAAGATACTCGATACAGACAAGTTGTAAGCCGTAGGCATTAAGGCTCGAGAAAAGCTGTTGGGTTGAGGCAGTAGGCCAACAAACCCTGGGTATTCTAGCTTGATGGGTGATTAGACTCATTGCATGTTGGTATTCCAATCCGAGGATTGATTAGGCCTGGGCCTTTCAATCCGATGATTGTGGGTCATTATACATGCTTGTATGTTTATCATATGTGACATTTTTGGAGAAAATTCATTAAACTTTGTGCTTACCTAGTTGTTTATTGTTTAATGTATCATCAATTATCATGAGAAGGCAAATGTGTGACTGTATATATTCATCAACAACAATGAAGATTTTGTGCTTTAATATTACTTTGATTTTCAATCATGTACTTTGGAATAAACCGTTTTCGTAATAATTGATTGATTATTGGAAAGCTTCACTTTAACAAAATGAAAATTTTTAGTTGTAAAAATGGATCATTACAGGTTTGCATAGATTTCGTACATTATCTTGATAGATTCATGTAAACTTAATCATATTTTTATCATGTTTCTTTCTCTATTATTATTATTATTATTATTATTATTATTATTATTATTTGTGTGTGTGCGCACATATAATATGATACTTATAGGAATAAGTAATGTAATGTTATGAATAAGTTAGAGGTTGAAGACATTTTGAAACATAAAAGTTTGATGGCATGTTGAGACATAAAAGTTTATCCATAATGGAACTTAAGGCCCCTAAAAGATGAAACAAGAGCATAATTTGGGAATTGAAACTCATCCTAGATAAATAAGGGAAATTGTTACAATATTTTTGTTTTTATAAATTTTTATATATACATTTTATGCATTGTACGGTAAAAATATAAACAATATAATGGCATAATTTTTTTTTACTCGCCTCAAGATTAAAAAACGAATGGATCAGCTCTGCCTAACATCGGTGTCCGAGCTAGATTACACGCACCTTGGTTTATAATTAATCAACCGTGCGAAGATAATGATATGCCTCATATTTTGAAGTCACCAAAAAAAAAACCTGTACGCCCACAACAAAAATAACAACATCAAGATTCAAACATGAGTTGATGGGCTATCTAGCTATCATATCTTCTACATGCCACAATCTTTATGATTATGGTTTTTCATCAAATGATGCACCACATTCATATGATCCTGTCATAAATATCAATATTTTTTTTTTTTTAAAGAAACCCGCGTAACCTCGATCTTATAATTGTAAGCTAACTAAGTTGTAATTTACCTTCACACAAATTTCAGTTTAAGATACTTTAGCATTCCAAAAATATTGATAATTAAAAAAATCATTTAATTTTGGTCTTAAAAAAGGAGCGGGTCCATTACCAATAATATATTTTAACTTATTGAAGTTAATAATTTAGGCTTGTAGTAATTTAAAAAATACATGTTTTTTTGTCACAGTTAAGATAATAAAAACATATCTCCCTTCCTTATACCGTTTTTAAGATTATATAAAAAATGTTTTTATAGTTATATAATTATAGGCGAAACACAATTTATATATTTATAAATTTGTTTTATTATTGTCATAAAGTTATTGCAGCTTATAATAAATAAGTTTACTATCATAATCATTTTTTTCTATCTAAAGAAACCATACGTTTTACATTTATTCCGGTTTAATAATTATGAATATATATCCAAAGTCAAATTTAATTTGTAGACACAATTCAAATTAATCTATTAATCCGGTTTGAGATTTATTATTATTTTTTTTTCTTTTTTGGAACCCACAAATATATATTATAATAAAAACCCCAACTAGCAAGATGCTAGAATGAAGTTTAAAATTTACTTTCTAAGTTAAACGTGTTTTTAGATTTAATTAGCCTATTTTTAAAACTTTTTAAGGTTAATATAAAAAATAATTTTTAGACTATATTTTAAAATGCTCCTCAAACCAATTTTGATATATATATATATATATATATATATATATATATATATATATATATATATATATATATATATATATATATATTAAGAATTCTCTAAAAAAATACGATTAAAAAATTTAAGTGATTGTTTTTTAACTAGCTTTTTGAGTTAAACATGTTTTTTAAACTTAATTAATTTATTTTTCGAACTTTTTAAGATTAACATGACGAAAACAAATAAATACTTTATAAATTATTTTAAAAATGATGCTCAAACCAAGGTTTTATCAAAATAATGATTTTTTTAATTCTCCAAAAGATAGGATTAACTAATTTTCCATCAAAGCTATCGACTAGTTTTTTTTGTTAGGAATTCTCCATGCCCTTCTATGCTATTCTAATTTCACAGCTAGTTTGTCCATTAGTTTTTATAAAATATCATTAACAAATAGGTAATTTATCCGCTAGTAGTTATATCTTCAACTACTAGTATTTTCATATACCAACTAGTTTTTCAACTATTTAATTTGTTAATTTGGACACTTACAAATGATTGTTTTTTGTTTAATCTAATTAATGTAGCCATTTATTGAGTTTAATACAAGAAAACATGACAAGATATATTATATATGCATCAATATTTCATTTTCCTTTTTAAATTTTTTTTTTCCACTAAACTTCTCGCATATCAAAACTAATAAATATTATAAAAATTAATAAGTATTATTTAAATTGTCTGTTAAAAAACAAAGAAAAATTTGATAATTTACTCTCAGCTGATATTCCCTTCGAAAAGATACTATATAACACCTTTTAAATATCATTATGTATTTATTCACTTAAGTTATTAATGTCTGAACGAAGAAAAAAAAACACTGCCTTTAGCTAAATATAAGGTGACCATAGTTTCAATCAATACAAGAAGAAAACCATTATAGCAAAACATATATGAAGACTAACTTTTTATCATGTATATGTACTTCGATTAGTATGATTTTCTATGTGTAAGCAACTTTTAGTAATAAAACAGTACGATCATTTTCACCTTGTACTTGCCAACTAGCTAGTATATTTATATTTATGAACAGTGGTGCTACATAATAAATCAAAATATATAGATAAGTAAGTACTTGAGTTCAATTAAGTTGATTAAAAATATTATTTATTATATACTTTTACTTTTGTAATTGTATTATATTCATTCAAGTATAATTATATATTTATGAATTCATGGAAGCGAACTTGTGGGACACAATCATACATGCGTAATTGGTAAAACAAAATTGTTTTATGTACATGCAGTTACAAAGTTTGAAAATATAGTGGTATTTTGTTTATTTTAATATAAAAAACATTGAATTTTCTAAGAGTCAAATGCAAATATGTAATAACATTATTTCTTTTATAAACTGATATGCCAAAATAACGTTTTACACATTATATTTGATATATTTTTTTAATTAAAATAAGCAATATCTATATGTATAAATTGATAAGATCAATTTCATTATATAATGGCACGTATTGCATTGATATTATAAACATAATTAAATGGATAAGCGTGTGATAACCATTTTTTGACGACAAATGTCTATGATTATATTTATTACAAAATATACAAATAATAAGTTCTAAGACGAGCAAAATAATCAAACCCTAATTCATATAATTAGAACTCTTTCAACTTTTTCTCTATCTTGTTCCCATTTACCTAATTTGCTCTTCCCTAAAAACAATATTTTTATTATTATATATGTGTCAATGGCCATACCTATGGGACACATAGACTCTCCATTAAAACCGATAAAGTAGTCATTATTATAATAGTAATAGATTCAGTTAAAGTTGATATTTTTGAATACAAATATCATCATAACCTATACATATTTTTTCACATAAAAAACAAAAAAAAAAAAATACTATTTAATCTGTATTTGTTTTTTAATTATGATTTTTTAGGTGTTTATCATAGACATTTTTTCTCTCAATAAATTATGTTTACTAAACCCTTTAGTGCCGAAGAAAACAGAACAACGCCAATACGCAATTATGACGCGTGTAATTCACGAACCAATGATGTCGAGTTTAAGTGCGTGGCATCTTCATATGACAAAACAATGACTCGAAATTGACTACTCACCTAACAAGGCGCGTGAAAAAGAAGAGCGTGGGAAAAATTAGGGTTTGATTTCTGTAAATTGCGATAAGACCACCATCACTAACTTTTTCTGCTGACGTGGTTGTCCCTGATTCGATTTCTCTTTCACACAGTTTCACACTTTCAGTGTGTGCTTTACAAAATACGTACATAAAATATGTAGGTAAGAAGACAACAAAGCGTGAAGTATACTCCCTCTCTCCAAAACACACACTCGACACAACCTCCTGTCTCTCTTTCTCTCTCTCACTTTCTCTCACTACATTTCTCTCTCTAGTTCGTGATAACCTAAAGGGGTGAGACTAGGGTTTTCAACCGCTTCGCACTCGGATAAATCGGAAAAGGCTTTGAATCTGTAAGTAAAATTAACATTTCTAGCTTCGTCTTCGGATATGGTATCTACTGATAGATGTTTTAAGTGATTTCAGTTGAGAAATTAAGGTTTTAAAGTGTTTCAATTCTTTTGTTGGTTTTGATGCGGCGGATAAGGTTTCAGATCTGTGTGCTGCTATAATTGATCGGTGTGAAGTAAATGTCGTTCTATGTGCACGGATAGTAGCTTACGTTTTGAACTCACTCTCTTGATATTTTTCCAATTTGGTTAAACTATTATTCTTTGATGTTTAATTTGCTTTATTCAGTTTGTTTCCTTTCTGGGTTTTGATGCGCATATAACCAATTTTTCCCATATCTTGATTCCAGTTCTATTTTACAGCACAACTTAATTATCGATTGAATATGATTATACAAACCCTAAAAATTTGTTTATTTGATTATTGTTTGTATGTTTAAGGGGACGGTGGTGATGAATCTGGAACGAGTCTCGTGAGTATAAAGTGAGTTTTCTAGGATTCTTTAGAAAGCTAAAAACTTTACATTCTATTTTATCCAACCATGAGCTGTTTATTGTTTGTGGTGTTTGTTAATCGAACTAAGCTATGCCTACATCTAAAAACACAGCCTCAGTATAAATTAGTTCTTTGGTTCTATCAGTTGACAAGTGAACTGCTTGGTGTTTGACTTGCGGAAGACAATTTTTATACTTTTATTTCCCTATTATTTGTTAGTATTTATGTGCCTATTGTACTATTTAGTAAAGTTTCGATTTGGCCTTCACCCAACTTTACTTTCTTTGCTATTGATTGTGCTAACTTTGTTGTGTGTTGCTTTGTTAACTTCTGATGTACTAGTTAGTCTTTTGCAGCTTCTGATGTGTATTGTATGCTCATTAAGAACTTGTTATAAATACTATGGTGTTCTACTCCTTCAGTTTAAAACCTCAGTATTTTAAATTTATGTCAATTGTATGTAATCATGTACAACTAATTGTCTTTTACAATGAACATGAGTCTAATCTTGAAGGTTACTTTATTGTAGTTATATCTTAGAATGGATAGCGATACTGATAAAAGAATCAGACAGAGAGATTCTGGGACAATTATTGGGGGAGACCAGGCTCAAGGCAGCAATGTTAATGCTTTACTCCACTCAAGTAGTTCAACTGTTAAGATCAATTCACTGTCAATCAATCTTGGAATTGTCAAGGGGAAGGATGATCCACAAAAGTGTAATCATTTCTCCATACGGTAAGTCATGTACTGTTTGCATTTAAATTCATAACACATATCATTTAACCACATAACTGTTATGCTGTTGATATGGCTGGTATATAGTATATACATACTTATATGTATGATTTTGAACTGGTGTGTAATATGTATATCTTGTTATTTATTGCTTAATTATCCATGCTGACATGTATTGTTCTCCTTATCACTTTGCATCTTGAGTTTGAGATGCCAATGCACAAAATCTCTTGCTTGTGTTCATATCTCAACTTGTAACATGAGATACAGTGCATATTCTAATATTGTTCATGAATTATGATCACTTTGCTTGAAGTAACATCTAGGAAGAATAGACTTTCATTTCATTGGCATGTTCTTTTTTTCTCTTATAACTGATAATATCTATCATTCTATCTATTGAATATTGATACACCAGAGGCTATGTTGCAAAGATGCGTGAAAAAGGTGACAACCACCACTTACCATTTTCTGATGGTATTGGAGAAGAACCTCCCCCTATAGAAGTCCCACGTTTTAGATATTGGCTTTGCCAAATCTGTTTGCAAGATTATGGAGGTGGAAGTACTTCTCAAGAGGTTGCATTAGTTTCTCAGTATGGTAAAAGCATGATGCAACCTTGCACAACTTCTTACTCATCATCACCAAATTGTCATGGTTTGCCAATGCTCCCTTTTGGAGAAGGCACTTCAGGTAATTCAATACTGTCCTAATCTCAATCTTGTCTTTGGGATTGCATCTAATCATCCTATTATGATATTTCAATGCTGTTTTTGATTCCTTTTTTCTGTTCTTTCTTCAGGTCATAAACCTGTTGATGAGAGAATTAGTGTTGATGAAAGCATCATACAAGAAGATACTACTCAATCTTCACCTGATCACAACCTTCCTGACACTGAAGAACCAAAGAAAATCGATTCTATTGATGCCAGTATTACTGAATATGCAGCTGTTGTTGATGATTCCAAGAAACTTGACTTAGTCAATGAACCTTTGACTTCTCCACCAGTCCAGTCAACCGAGTCTGACCAACAGAATCAAGATCCAACCGGACATCCACGCCGAAAGGCACGAAAAGTGCGTTTATTAACAGAATTGCTTTGTGGAAGTAATGAAAAACAGCATCAGAGAAAAGAAAGCACTAATCTTCCTGAATTAACTCCAACTCCATCTTCTCCACTGAAAAAAAGAAAGATCCCACAAGCTCAGGAGTGGAAACCTGTTGAAGGTCATGTCGGGAAAAAAGTCAAAGTGGTCAAGGAGAACGTTTCTGGTAAAACCAGTATAGTCAATGAAGGTGAAGGTGGGCAGAAAACTGATAAGTATCAATGTACAAAACATGGAGTTCAAAAAAGTTCCAAACTTGTCAAGGCTACTAGTGATCCAGTTGCAGCATGGAGATCGATATTCAGTGATATGGGAAGATCAGATAAACACGTGTCACTTCCCAATGATGCTTCAAGACCGAGTCAAGATGTCTATGAGTATGAAGGCAAACGAAATGTTGACCAATTTTCAGAAAAAAGATGTAATGCTTCCAAGAAGGTAATGGAAGATCCTATGAGAAATCAGTTATTTGGAGATGATCATATACAAAGGTCAAATGTTGGTGATTATGATTATGATTCTAGAGCGAGGGGTGGTCAGTCTGAAACTGGGTTAGGGCTCGGGTTATCTCTAAACTATGAACCACAATCACGGGTTTCTTGGCTACCACCATTACCAAATCGGGTTCCTATTCAAGATCATAGTAGGAAAGATGGTTTCTTTTTTGGAGAATCAAGTATTGGACATAAAGGAGTCTCATTGGATCCTCAAGCAAAAGGAAGATCGGTTTACAGTGTCAGAGATGGACATACACATACTCCTAGAACACCATTCTTGCAGGAACAGCAGCCTTTTCATACACACCTTTCACATGGGAGCTTTTCTCAGCATCAGAATTTAGTATGTTCTCTCTATTCAATGACTATAATTCTCATAATATGTCCCCACATACGATTTACCTCCCTGTGGGACCCGTTTCCAGTTATGGGAACATGTTTATGCCAAACATGACGAAGGATGTTGCATTGCTCATAATTTTTTTGGGTTAAATGCAAGATATAGCAACGTACTATTATTCATTTGTTTATTATAGCATACCAGTTTCATTTTCTCCTATTACATCATTGTACTTTGAAAAATTTATCCTTCTATCGAAATGGCATCCAAACACAGACATTTTCATTGCTATAATTGGGTAGTTTGTTAGTTTTTTTATTTGAAAATATAAATCGTAATAAGAAAAGTATAAGTAATAAAAAGAGATGAAACTAGGATGCTATAATAAACAGATAAGTGAAAGTTAGTTGCTATTTTTTGCCTTTAGCCCAATTCCTTTTGTATTTGATCAAAGGAAAAAGAAATGAATTGCTCCTTGATATGAAAATCTTCTGTTAATCCCATGTTAATCAACTCATTCCTGTCTCATTTTAATCAATTAACTAACATAAACAGTCAATCCAGGACAATATTTGAAGAAGGGGGTGTTATTAATGATTCATCTCAATAAATAAATAATATTATTCTATATTGTTGTTAACAGGACTTCTCTGACCCACACAACAAGAGGAACAATGGAGTAAGAGGGTATGCAGATATAATGATGGCTAATAGCCATCAAAGACATGACATATTTTCCAATGGGAGGTCAGATGAAAGGGAAATCGTTGAACTCATGGCCAAAATTCAGTATGAAAGAAACCTAAGTGAATCCAGGAATTACAATTCATCAAATTTTCATAAAGTTAGTAGCTTCAACCAAGGGATGCCTATACCCCACCACCAATATCCCACATTCAGAAGGCCTTCAATGGAGAATTCAGGTCTGGGTCCCACCACCATGAGAAACCCAAACCCAAATCCAAACCCATCTGGATTCTTCCATCAAGAACCAATTCCAGCCTTCCCAAGTTTTGATACCTTTTCACACCAATCAAATGGTATACGGGTATCTGATAACTCTTATTATCATGAATCTAGAGAGAATAACAGAATACCCCACCACCACTCTTCTGTTCCAACCAATATGCAGATAATGTAAGCTTATAACAATGGAAGACCTGGAAATGTGTGGTCAAACATGGAAATGCATACAAAATGGTCAAACAGGAACAAAGGGAAGAATGTTATGAATCTTGATCTAAATGTCATGGCTCCAAATGTTCATGAAGAGCAGAACAACAACAACAACAACACGGGTGGTTCTTTAGACCATTCGTATTCTAATGAAGCCATACCTGCAATGCAGTTGCTTAGTCTAATGGATGCAGGGAAAAAGTCATCATCTTCTTCTTCTTCTCCATTTATGGACAAGAAAAAGCTTACACCTAAACCACAATTTTCTTCTTACAATGGAAAACAGAATTCCTTTATAATTCCATGCTCTGGGATGCTACAATCTAGTGTGCAAAGGCCCGTTGAAAACTCAAGGAGCTTCATTACGGGTCGTGGAGCTTCGTTTTCTTCTTTCTTTCATACCGATCAAACTCATGGAGGCCAAGCCCAGTTTGTTCATAAACCACAGGAGAAGAAACAGAGAGGTGTGAGTATGGCTTCAGGTTCAGTTAGTGGTCACAACAAGTATAGACAAGAGGATTCTTATGGTTTTCCTCTTCCATGGCATGCAAGTGAAGGAGGATTGGGGACAAGAAATGTGACATCAGGAACTGAGATTTGCACAGTTAATCAAAACCCGGCTGATTTTAGTACACCAGGACCAGAAAATGTGTATATGATTGATTTTGAAAATCTTAAATTCAGAGGGGATCGTGTTTATTACCCTAGGGAAGGGACTGTTTGAGGGGAAGAGAGCACAAAATGGTTAACAAGGTATGGATTTCTACTTATACTTGAGATATCGAAAAAGAAGTTCTTGTATATATATTTGCTCTTATTTTCTGTAATAGTTGATAGAGTTGATTCCCATAGAAACATGAGCTTAACAGTTGTTTGCCTTGTAGACATGGTTGCTTTTGTTGTTTAAGATATTTGCAGTATACTCACAGTTTGATCATGAGGTTATGATGTCTTGTTCATGCTGTAATCTAATAAACCTTTCTTCACCACCATCTTCACTTGGTGATCCAAATTTGAATTATTC